AAAAACCAAACGACAACATCCAGATGGGTGTGAAGAGGTATGTTCATTTCTATGCACCCACAAATAGTAGCAAAAAAGGCACTAACACCCCCTTTTTTCTCATTCTGCCCCCTCTCCAAACTGGTACCCCAGCTTCATCTGCAAGGAGCTGAAGAAGCAAGCACTGCAATGCACTAAAAATAAGAAGAAAAAAGAAAGGAGAGGAGTATAATTTATATACACAGAGGCCTAAGTACGTTAAAGGCACCAGGTCCTGTCCAATCTTGGAAGCTAAGCAGGGTCAGCCCAGGTTGGTACTCAGATGGGAGACCACCAATCCCCAGGTACTATAGGTTAGATTTCAGAGGAAGGAACTGGCAAAATCACATCTACGTAAAAACTGAACCAAATTCACTTAAGTTGAAAGGTGACTTGAAGGGAAATACACACAAATACAAGATTGTGTAGGGTGACCAGACATCCTCCTTTTCCAGGACATGTCCTACATTTCATGTCCAGGAGGAATTCCCAAAATATCTTCCATGTAGAAAAAGGCTAAGAAGCATAGATTTTTTTTCGACTTCACGTGGATTTCCATTTATATGAGGATTTTTTTTTTTTTGCTTTAATTTGTACTTCCCTACATTTTTCTGGAATGTCCTACTTCATCCTACATTTCCACCTCCAGTCCAGGAGGAATTCCCAAAATTTCCTCCAGTTTGAGCTGGACTAAGAAGCATGGCTTTATTTACATTTATATTAGTGTTTTTAGCTCAAGGTGACCTGATATCCTTCTTTTCCCAGGACACGTCCTACATTTCAAGTCCAGGAAAATTCCCCAAATGTCCTCCATTCTGAGCAAGACTTGGGGGGTTGCAGACTGCCAGAAATAGTGCAAACTGAGTCCACTTTTAGGGTTAGGGTTAGTGCTAGGGAATCATGGGAATTGTATTTTATTGTGGCACCAGAGCTCTCTGACAGAGAAGGCTCAATGTCTCAGAAAAAAAACAATTCCCATGATTCCCTAGCACTAACCCTAACCCTAAAAGTGGACTCAATTTGCACTATTTCTGGCAGTCTGCAACCCCCCTAAGAAAGATAAATATAGATTTATATGAATGTTTTTACCTCAGGTTGACCACATGTCCTCCTTTTTCCAGGACATGTCCTACATATCAAGTCCAGGAAGAATTCCAGACAATATCCTCAATTTTGAGCAGGACTAAGAAGCATCAATTTACATTTATATTAATGTTTTAACCTCAGGGTGACCAAATGTCCTCCTTTTCCCGGACGTGTCCTACATTTCAAGTCCAGGAGGGAAATCCACAAAAATATCCTCCATTTTGATCAGGTCTAAGAATAATGGATTTATATTTCTAGGAGTGTGTTTTGTTTTGTTCTTTGAGCTTTGGTCAGGCCCTCTATTTTCCTGGAAAGTCCTACATTTTTGTGATCCTCCTTCCTATTAAGGATACCGGTTCACCCTCTGTGTGTGTGTGTATGTGTGTATTTGTGTGTTTCCCTGTGTTTGTGTGAGTGTTTCTATATGTATTTCTCTCTCTGTTTCTGTATTTGTGTTTCTGTGTGTGTGTTTGTGTTTCTGTATGTTTCTCTCTCTGTGTGTTTTTCTGTGTTCCTGTGTTTGTGTGTGTATTTCTGTATGTGCTTCTCTCTCAATTTCTGTATATGTGTGTGTTTCTCTGTGTGTTTGTTTCCCTGTTTCTGGATGTGTTTGTTTGTTTCTGTATGTATTTCTGTGTGTTTGTTTCTCTATTTCTGTTTGTGTGTGTGTTTTGTTTATGAGTGTGTTCCTCTGTGTGTGTGTGTTTCTCTGTTTCTGTATGTGTGCTTCTGTTTATGTCTTTCTGTGTGTGTGTGTCTGTGTGTTTCTGTATGTGTGTGTGTTTGTCTCTCTGTTTCTGTATGTGTGCCTGTTTCCCTGTATATGTTTGTGTGTGATGTCCCTGTGTATTTCTCTGTTGTGTGTTTGTGTGTGTGTGTCTGTCAGGCCCGTCAAAAAAAGAGGAAAAGGGTCTCTTTCCCCCAAAACCACCCACCAGCCACTCCAAACCCACCCCAAAAAGGGAGTCCCAGAGAAAGAAAGAAAGAAAGAAAGAAAGAAAGAAAGAAAGAAAGAAAGAAAGGGGGCAATGCACCAAAAGAAAGACAATGCACCAGAAAATAAAACAAATTAACAAGGATAAACAAGGAGGAGGAGAAGGAGAAAATGGGCCCAACCCCATCTGGAGCCAGGGAAGGGAGAAAAGACGAAGGAAGCAAGCCCCTGAGGTCCACTTACATGCCTGGCAGGGAAGGAGGGCTGCAAGCGAGGCCTAGGAAGGTTGCAACAACAACCACCACCACAATAACAACAACAACAACGCCTCCTCCGTCGTCTCCAACGGTGCTGGTGGTGGAGGAGGAGGTTGCCTTCCCGCAAAGGCTCAGCCCATGGAGCCTGGAAGCCCGGCGATGAATGGGGAGGGAAGGGCCCCGACGCCGCCTTCCTCCAAAGGCCCGGGAAGGAGGCGCGGCGGCCGGGAGGGCGGTCAGGCTTCTGCCGCGGCGATGGAGGCTCCCCTTCTTTGACTCACTGGCGCACACACTCCCTCCCTCCCTCCCTCTCTGTTGTGTGTCTGTGAGTGTGTGTGTTGTGTGGTGTGTGTGGGTGTGTGTTTCCCTCTTTCCTGCCCGCCGGGTCCTATTGCCTGGCCTGCTCCCTTCCCAAATCCTTCCATTCATCTTTTCTTTCTTTCTTTCTCCATTTCCCCACCTCTTGTGTGGTGTCGTTGTTGTTGTTGTGTGTCTTCAACTGACGTCCTCCTCCTCACGCAAAATGTAGGCCCCACAAAACGTGG